ACCGTGCAGGCCATGTGAAAGACGCACTTGAATTTCAAGGGTTGCCGTGGTTCAGCTTTGAGAGGACTTTCTGGTCAGGGAATGTGAAAAAAACAAAAATATGCTCCCATAGAACTTTTAAAGGAAAATATTTTTAAAGGAGCGCAGTCGTGAAAGTGCACAACAGAAGAGTCGGCCTCCTTTCCTGCCTTCTCATGGACACGTTTGTCAAATCTACACCAACAAACTGGGCCGCCCTTCTGGCCTGTGTCATCTGATCTCCATACTGTGGTCCAGCCGGGCACAGACACTGTCCATTTACATGGATTTCTACTTTGTCCCATCTGCACCACACTATATTCTATATTTGATGCCTGTTGGAAACTTTTCAGTTGTGACTGACTGAAATGAGTGAATGTTAATGTACAGTATACCTACTGTTGTGCATCTCTGCTGTACCCAAGCATGGTGGGGACCTGGAGAAGCAGATTCAAGCTCAACATTGGTTGAAAACCTCAAAAAAAATTAAATAAAAAAAAAAATGCTGCTTTCAAAAGAAGACCCAAAACAGGAAACAGCTGTTCCTCTGAGACCTGCAGTATTTCCTTTAGGTCATTTTGCGTCTTTGAAACAACACTGTTGTACTTTGAGGAAAGAACTTTTGTGGAACTCTTTGTACCCTACAGTACAATATATTCCTGCTGTTGAGGTCAGTGTTGTAGTTTCGTTTTAAATTTACTGGTATTTATTTGCATGATATTTTGAATTTGTACATAGTCTGATGGATATTTTACATTCCTGTCTGCATCTGGATCTTCAGCTCTGTCGGGGACGGTGGTGCGATTGTGCCCCAATGTGGATATTTTGGGTAAAGTGGAGGTCGCTGAGCTCTTTGCTGCCTGTAAAGGAACGAAGCTGAAAGTTTGACTTCAGTGAAGCCTACAGTGACTTAGCGTTTGTAGTTTAAGCCTTTTGCAGGAAGTTAAAGCACAGAGCAGTTAAGATTTATGAGCAGCATACTGCCTGGTTGAACTTTATTTGTTTATTCAGCAAAAACTGATGTAAAAACACTGGAAGTGACTCGTGCATTTAACGGCTGCATAACAAATAAGGCAGTGGCATGTGTGGGGATGCCCCTTTATTATTAGGCTTTGTTTATGAAATATGTTTAAGTGTTTCTTATTTGTTTATTTCAATGTAAATTTATTTGTTCATTCGTTTGTTTATTTGAGCATCGTGAATGATATTTGCGTTGATCAGAAAGGAAGTGAATATGTTTGGAGGTTGAGCAGGCACAAGGTGCAGTTTACAAGACGAAGAGCGAAATAGGACAAAGTTATCGTTATATCCTGTACGTCTGTGTCCTTTAATTTGTCAAACAAGAAGAATGTCCATGTTTTTTGCTGTAACTTTGCTTTTCATTTTGCCGACGTTGTTGTTTACTTGGGACAGTTTTCTGTCTTTGTGCCAGTCTCCTGCGCCACCTCATTTTTGTACAGACAACGTGAAGCAGTCAGCAGAAGACGAAGGCTTAACTTTGTAAAGATTTTGTCAGCCACATTACAAAATGGATATTTAAATGTTTATATCTTTGGTGATTAAATGCTATTGATATTTTTCACTTCAGCTCTGATTGGTACTTTTTCTTCGCTCATTTGTTATTTTCGTTGGGTGACCCTCACACTTCAGCACACTATTATAACGCAAAGATTTACACACTGCAGCTCTTTATAATCCCTTATCAAGGAGATGTGCAAAAAGTTACAAAATGTTACTAAAATGAACAAAGTGATTTGCAAATTATTTAAATCTTGTTGCAAAAATAACATATTAACAGAATGACTGAAATTGGCAAGCATGATTTTGATTGCAACAAGTTAAAAACATGGGACAGGGAAGTCCCATCTCATACATTTCATTTTATAATACCTGCACCACCTAATAGAGATGTATTACATATGACAGGGTATCAATGGGCCTTTCATTGATTCTTTACAAATCCTACCATGTGAATTCATGGATTTTTTTTTTCACATTCTGTCTCTCACAATTGACGTGTACCTCTGGTGCAAATTACTGACCTCTGTCATCATTTTAGGTGGGGGAACTTGCACAATCGGTGGCTGACTAAATACTTTTTTGCCCCACTGTATGCGCCCTAATGCCCCTACCTCATCTTTTTAGAGACATGTCGCTGGTATCAAATTTCAAAATGACAGATATAATTAGAAATAGAAAAAAGTGGAACAAACAAAGCAAAATACACCCGCTTGCATAGGTTTAAAAGGTCCTCACCAGGTTGTACAATAATTAAATGACACCTCAGATAAATAATAAATAAATAATGACACAATGTCACTGACTATTTAAACAAAGCTAATCAAAAATGATTAAGCAGCATGTAAAAATCAAAGTTGAACCCAGTTCAGTAGCAGAAACCTGAAGTCACGATTTTCTTCATGACTTTTTAATCAGTCTCTCACATCATTGTGCAGGACTTTTGCCCCATTCCTCTTTCCACTCCTCTATGTTTAAGTACACTGAGGTTCATTTCTGCACAGCTCACTGTAGAGTGATGGACTTGGGCTTATAAGCCTTTCTGGACTGATAGACAGCAACAGCTGCTCCTTTAAGATCACTACTTTTCTCCTATTGTGTTAACACAACAGCTGGTCTAGATGGTTATTTTCTTTTTATTACAATTGCTGCTGCTTACCCTCTTGATTCTTACAGAAGCAGCAAGACTTTAAATTTGTATTTTGGCTTAGATTTCTTAATATTCACATAGTATAATATGTTGTGTGTTATTCATCCAAGGTTGTATTTAAATCATTTTAGACTCTAGTAAGCAACAGATGATTTTTTTTATGACATCCAAAAAACAACAACAAAAAACAACCTTGAATTGAAATTGGTGTACTGATTTTCTATTTTCTTTTTCACGGTCTTCTGTGGATTCAGGCACTGTGTACTCTTTTTAGACCGTGGTGATGCTGCTGTATAATAACTTCAGTTGAGCCACTGAGCGGTTCCTCTGTTATCTGATGCAGAAAAAGTTCTGTCAGCTGTTTAGGATCGCATCAATAATTTTGAGGGGACTGATGAGAACCAGAAAAGTAATCCAAGAGTTAAGCTGCTTGGAAACTAATCATGGTGATTTTTTTCTAACTTCATTTAGAGAGGATATGAGAACAGTAGGCTGAGATCTGTCGCTGACACTAAAACCTCCGGATAGAGGTTGTTGATGCTTCTATGATTCAGTAAATCAGCCGTCCTACCCAGCAACTCTTACTAGTCTTGTTTGGAAAAGTGATACCTTCCATCCACCTGGCATTGTGCCTTGTTATGTGGCTTAAGGAGAAATACACCATCCGAATTAGATATGATGTCAGTGGATCAGTGTTTGGCAAAGGAGTTTGAATTATTGTCAATTTAAAACATCATGTTGGATTTATGCAGCAGAGCTCATGAGCTTGTTGGACATAAGTTGAACTTAGGAGACACAGAACAGACGAGGCGTTCGTGGGAGACGGGGACTGATGTAGGTTTGCTGCAGAAGTGGACCTAAACCGGGTAAAACCGCTTCTAATTACAGTTAACGAAAGATGGGAACTGGAAACTGTTTTAGTACCAGATGAGTGTGTATTTCTTTTTTTTTTTTAGGTTTTTAGGTGTTGAAGGCATGTATCCTCTCAATGAAATATTGTGTGGCTGGTTGTTTTTAAAGGGTTTTATTTGTGGTCAGAAATACTGTGATTTTGATGGGATAATGACTGAAATTTGTGTGGCACACTGACAGAGAGCCGTTCAGTGGTTGGTGTGGCGATTTCTTGGTGACTTCAATACCTATACTAATATTGATACAGTGATTTTGGAGCAAAGTTCAAGCTTGATTTGAAAGATTTTAAAGTTATTTGGAGAAAAATGTTACAGTAACACACCGTGCTTGGCTGTGTCAGTTGATATTTAAGCAATAAGAATGAAAAAGAGACATAAAAAACAAAGTGTAGGGAGCTAAGACTCATACAATACCAGACTGTTCCCTGTGTGTAGTTAAATAAGACCTCTAACAATAAGTAGGCATGTAAAAAATCTCACATGGTGCCATATATTCAGGAACAAACAGGTGCACTGAGAGGAGGGGAGGAGGCAGCTGTCAGGATATATTAATGACAATAGTCCCTGAAGAGGAAACATATGCTGGATTGCTGCCTTGCCCCAGAGGACTTGACTAAATAATTTGGTGTTAGAAAAAACAGTAACGCACCACACCCCATCTTAAAAGGTTCATATCTAAAGACACTGTACAGTTGAACTCAGCATGTGTCTGCTGACATTTTAGAATAATATTTTTCACTGCTGTGCAGGAGAAATACATCAGCATTAGCAGCATGCTCAATGAGAGGAAGGCTGTGCAGGTACGATGCAGACAGTGGTGATGTGTTTCGTTACTTTTCGCATAAAATGTCTGAAGAAGTTTAAACATGACATGATATACAAAGTTAAAAAGCTATCTGATGCTTTGCTGCTCCTTCAACCACAACTTGTGGGTTTACACTTGTGGAATAAAAAGAAAAGTAAATATGTGTAATACAGAGATAACGAGAGCAGATCATCTCCATCTCACGCTATCACTAGCATCCTCCTCTGTCACACCAACCATCCGTGTGGTGTTCTTCATTACATCCATGAATTTCCTCTGTTCTTTTCCTCTTCCCTTATATTCAACATCCCCCATCTAATATATCCTCTGCAAACCCAAACCATCTCAGCCTTACCTCTCTAACTTTGTCTCTAAACCACTTGTTACCCTTCTGTCACTAATCCCCGTCACACTCATCTCCACCTGCTCCATCCTGCCTGGACTTTCTTGTGCGATGCCTGACCTTATGCATTTTTTTCCTTACTTTTACTGACTAGATTCCAGTCTCAAAAAACAAGGCACCAAATATAATATAATATAATATAATATAATATAATATAATATAATATATCCAATAAAAACTATGAAGACACTCAGATTTGAAGGATTTTGTTTTTATTGTGGAACGTTTAAAGACAGCAGACTGGCCAAGTCAACAACATTTAATGAGAGCATTTCAACGAAAAATCATATTTTATGATTCTCATTTGAGTCTCTCATAGAAGTTGCAGCTTATTCTTCAGCTTCCTTTCCCTGAAACAGACAGAAAAACACACACACACATGATAAGTTCACTCAAACTGTGGAAGGAAAACTTTGTCCCGTGAAGACAGAGAAAATATTCTGTCTTTAAAGAGACCTTTTTTGATCATTTCCAGTACTGTGTTTTAGTTGTTCATTATTTAAGATAATACCCATTAATCTTATACACAGTTTATTATTTGTCTGAAACATAACCATTTTAGCTCCTTTCCCCCCGCCTTTAAGCTAGCTTTCTTCTGATTGGCTGCCCCTCACATTTAGAAGATTTGATGGGTGAAGTTTACAGTGACAGCTTAGGTATACCTGCTTTCTTTGACATCATGAAGATTTTAAAGCAAAACACAATCTCTGAAACTGAGTGTTTAGAGAGTGTTTGTTTATGTACACATTTGTCTGTGTGTGTGTGTCAGAAATTAAGCAAAAATAACTTGACTAATAATTTCACCTGAGAAGTTTGAAATTTCATAATTAGGGAAAAATCAATTATGAATGCATGAATTTTACGCATTACTTACTTTTCCAATTTCACGACTCTTAGCCCTCAGCTTGTTGACCTGGGACTCAGCGATGTCAGCGCGCTCCTGAGCTTCCTCCAGCTCGTGCTGAACCTTCCTCAGCCTTGAAATGTGAGTATTGGCTTGCTCCTCCTACAATGAGATAAAACAATGGAGTTAACTGTCATAAAGACTGAAGCTACAGAGAATAAATGACTGACTCATAAACAGCAAAGTATTTAATACTGTGAAACATTTTAACTTACAGCCTCCTCAGCCTGTCTCTTGTAGGCCTTCACTTTCAGCTGCAGCTTATCCACCAGATCTTGAAGCCTGACAATATTCTTCTTGTCCTCCTCTGTCTGCAGTTTACATAAAGTCACAGCAAATGTAATCATATGAACTTTCCCGGGATACCAGCATCAACAAAATCAAATAAAACACCTTCCTACCTGATAGGTAAGCTCTTTCACTCTTCTCTCATACTTGCGAACACCTTTGACAGCTTCAGCTCCTCGTCTTTGCTCAGATTCAACTTCAGATTCAAGCTCACGTACCTAAAATATGAACAATGTATGACAATGATGGGAGTTCAAAAATAAATACTGTGATTAAAAACAGTTGAGGTCATGCTGGTGAAAATGGTCTTTACCCTAGCCTCCAGTTTCTGGAGCTGCTTCTTGCCGCCTTTCATGGCCAGGTTCTCAGCTTCATCAAGGCGGTGCTGCAGGTCCTTCACTGTCACCTCCAGGTTCTTCTTCATCCTCTCCAAATGAGCACTGGTGTCCTGCTCCTTCTTCAGCTCTTCTGCCATCATGGCAGCCTGAAATTTCATATCATATGTATTGTTGTAACTGTCATTTGTATTGTTGTACCAACTAATATAGTTGGTAGAGTAATGCTACTGCACTATAGACATTCATCAGGGTGGCTCACATCAGTGATGGCCTTCTTGGCCTTTTCTTCAGCATTTCTGGCCTCCTGGACAGCATCTTCCACTTCACCTTGAATCTGAATGAAATCAGCCTCCAGCTTCTTCTTGGTGTTGATAAGGCTGGTGTTCTGAAAGGAAATACAGGATAATGAATCACATATTTGGACTTTCACCCTTCAAATTATAAAAATATGAAGCTTTTGAATCGTAACTAACCTGAGAGTGCAGCAGTCCCACACGCTCGCTGGCATCAACCAGCTCCTGTTCAGCAATCTTGCGGCCTCTCTCTGTTTGCTCCAGTGCAACTCTCAGCTCCTCGATCTCAGCCTGCATCAGGTTGTTTCTGCGCTCCACCATTGCAACCTGCTCCTTCATGTCTTCCTGGCTTCTAATGGCTTCATCAAGATGGAGCTGGGCATCCTGAAATGTGCGACATTAAGAGGTAACAGTACCCACTTTAAGCTACTTTTCAGATAATTTTAGAAAGTTCGGGCAAATCCTTCAGTGGACCCACCTTCAGCTGTCCCTGCACATTCCTCAGCTGTTTCTGGGATTCAGCTGCCTGGCGGTTGGCATGACTCAGCTGAATCTCCATCTCATTCAGGTCTCCCTCCATCTTCTTCTTGATTCTCAGGGCATCATTCCTGCTCCTGACCTCAGCATCCAGAGTACTTTGCATGGACTCGATCACTCTCTGGCTGTTCCTCTTGATCTGTTCAATCTCCTCATCCTTCTCTGCAATCTTCCTGTCAACTTCACTCTTGACTTGGGTCAGCTCAAGCTGAATGCGGAGGATCTTGGATTCCTCGTGCTCCAGAGTAGCCTTTGAAAAAGAGTGAACCATATTAACTACAGCACACAACGTCTCCTTTAGTATGAATATACAAACTGAGTGTTTGTACAGTTTGTACTGAGTGTACAAACTGGTGAATAAAGAAGAAAAAATAGCTCAGACATAGCGCATCGAATACTTTTCAAGGATAAATCTCACACAGATATGCTTCAAATTGTTTGAGCAGAACATGCACTTCTTTTGCACAGAAGCCAAACTCAGCTCAGGAATCGTAGATTCAGTTTTACCTCGGCCTCTTCCAAAGCTGTCTGGATTTCTGACTTCTCACTTTCCACTGTCTTCTTTCCCTTCTCAAGCTCATGGATGGTTTTACCGGTCTCGCCAAGTTGTTCACTCAGGTCTGATATCTCCTCTGTTCAAGCAGATTTTCAGTACATGAGCATACTGGTCGATTTAAACATTCAAAATTCTTCTCAAGTGTATTTTATTGACAGAGTGCTTGGTGAAAACTGGATTAATGGTCTTACGTTGCAGGTTCTTGTTCTCCCTCTTCAGGGTCTCCAGGTGATCAAGAGCTTCCTCGTAGGAGTTTTTCATCTTGAACAGCTCAGTGCTGAGAGAACGAGCCTCCTTCTGAGCTCCCTCCAGCTCTGCCTGGCTTTCCTCATACTTCTGTTTCCACTCTGCAAGAACCTGAAGATACAGCAAACTATTTAGTTTCTCTTTCTTTTAAACTCTCATCATATTTATATACAAATAAAAATACCGTACCTTGTCAAAGTTTCTCTGCTTCTTGTCAAGGTTAGCAGCCAGAGCATTAGCTCTCTCCACGTCGATCATCAGGTCCTCCACTTCACCCTGCAGTCTCTGTTTGGTCTTTTCCAGAGAGGCACATTTTGCATTCACAGCTTCGATGGACTCCTCTGCATCCTGGAGACGCTGGGCGAGCTTTTTCCTGTTAAGAACATTCAATTTTCAGACTTGCTGTATATTAATCACGACACGAGAAAAAATATAAGGTTGGAGACTTACTTTGCCTCCTCCAGCTCCTCAGTGCGCTGAATAGCATCAGTTTCATATTTGGTCCTCCACTGAGCCACCTCGCTGTTTGCCTTGGACATTGAACGCTGCAGCTCAGCTTTGGCCTCCTGCTCCTCCTCATACTGCTCCCTGAGGAGGTCACAGTCGTGACGAGCTGACTGGACAGCATGAGCCAGGGCGTTCTTGGCCTATAATCCAAACAAAAACCAGATAATTATTTGACAGAAAACATTTTTTCGCCTTTTCTTCTCACACAGTTTTCAAATTCTGTTACCTTGACTTCCTCCTCTATGTGCCTCTTAAGCTCCTCAATTTGCTGAGTGTAGGCCAGTTTGCCTCTGGTCAGCTGAGACACGAGAGCTTCTTTCTCCTCGATCTGGCGTGAATATTCACCTAAGCAACGATTCTTTAGTTATTAGCAGCACTCAACAGCAACAAGAGCAGGAAATAAGCATACACTGATGCACAATAAATTTTCTGCTGTTGCAACTGAAGAAGAAAGATATTAAAAACCTTAATGAACCCTAAACTTGTGAATAGCATTCCTAATGAGGTTAGAAATATCCACATCACTACATTTTTAACTTGTAAAAATGTATGTGAATTTCCATTGTTACAGATCTCGCTGCTGGTTGCATTTTGCCTCAGTACCACTATCACAGCCCACCAGGTGAAGTAGTTAATGGTGAATCTCGGCTCCTTAGTCAGTCATTTCATTTTTTAAGGTAATACAAAACATGATTTTCATATGAAGTGAGTTTCGTACCATTTTCAGTCTGAAGTCGTGCTTTTTGTGCACCGATATCATTCAGCTGACGAACATTTTCATCGTTCTTTGACTTGAGCTCATTTAGCTGATCTTCCAATGTCCTGCACATCTTCTCAAGGTTTGCCTGATGAAATAAATTATGTATTAGCAAATAAATAAATACATACATAGATAATAAAATTACAGTTTATTTTCCACTTTTGCAAGTTTTGCGCTCTGATTACCTTGGCTTTGGCAATACCCTCCATGTTGCTTGCAAGGTCATCAATCTCCATCTTGTACTCGCTTTTCTCTTTCTCCAGCTTCTGTTTGACTCTCTGCAGGTTATCAATCTGCTCTCCTAGCTCGGCCACGCTGTCAGCCTGCTTCTTGCGGAGAGCTGCGGCGGTGGCTTCGTGCTGCAGGGTGGCCTCTTCGAGATCACGCCGCAGCTTCTGAAACTCGGCCTCGCGCTTCTTGTTCATCTCAATCTGAGCTGCAGTTGCTCCACCAGCTTCCTCGAGTCTCTCACTGATCTCCTCCAGCTCTCTGGAGAGATCAGACCTCTGCTTCTCCACCTTGGCCCGAGCAGCACGTTCAGCCTCAATCTCCTCCTCAAGCTCCTCAATACGAGCCTAAAGCACAAAAAAGTTTAAGCTGAGTTGAACATATTTGAAGATTTTTTGCTATAGTAAATACTTCTAATTATACCTGAAGTTCCTTTATCTTCTTCTGTAACTGCAGTCCCAGAGATTGCTCATCCTCAATCTTGTTCAGGAGCTGGCTAATCTCAAAGTCCTTCCTAAAGGGGAAAAAATGATAATGGCATATTACAGTTGTATTTATCAGAGAATATTTTAGTGCAGATAAATACATATGAATTATTTTGCTTACTTCTTTATTTTCTCATCAGATTGCTGCTTATCATTCTCCAGATCCATGATGGTTTCTTGGGCCAGTTTAAGGTCACCTTCAAGCTTTCTTTTAGCCCGCTCAAGGTCCATGCGAAGCTTCTTTTCTTGCTCCAGGGAACCTTCAAGCTACCAAAGACAGAGATATTTCATGGATTTAGAAAGTGTATTAGTGGACTGTTGGTTTTCAGATGCGTTTTAAAAATACTCACATCATCCACTTGCTGCTCCAGCTTGGTCTTGGCCTTCGTCAGACTGTTAACTTTGTCTTCCTCTGCCTGCAGGTCATCGAGGGTCTGCTGATGGGCCTCTTGGAGGGCTTTCTTTTCTTTGCTCAGCTTGGCAATGGACTCATCTTGAGCAGCCAGTTCCTCTGTGAGGTTTTTGACCTACAGAAGTTGACATGAATATAAACTTACAAATGATTTTCTCAACACTTAAGCAAAACAATACATTGTTAAAAGAGGGAGCATGACCTTGTTCTCAGTGGCATGTTTCTCCTTTTCCACTTTGGCCAGGGTCAGCTCCAAGTCATCAATATCCTTCTTCAGCTCAGAGCACTCGTCCTCCAGCTTCCTCTTCTTTGCAGTCAGCTCAGCGTTCATTTCCTCCTCATCCTCCAGTCTCTCAGCTGTCTCTTTGAGTCTGGCCTCGAGCTGGATTTTTGCTTTAATGAGCCCCTCACACCTTTCCTCTGCATCAGCAAGGTTTTCACCTTCCTAAAAGGCAACACAAGTTTGTTAATCAAATTAATTCTTTGATAATCTGTAGACACTGTGCATGCAAGGTAGCGACTGAACTCACAGACTGCACTTGTAACAGTAAGTCATTCTTCTCCTGCAGCAGAGAAACCATCTTTTCCTCCAGCTCTTTCTTCTTAGCCAGAGCCTTTGCCAGATCCTCTTTGGTCTTTTCAAAGGTCTCTTTCATTGCGGCCATCTCTTTCTCCGTCTCTGCACTCTTCAGCAGAGGCTTAATCTTGAAGTACAGCTTCATCCACGGCCAGGTTTTGACATTCATGAATGAACGGATGTTGTACTGGATGGAGAAAATAGCATCTCTGATAAAAGAAAGAAAGGACGAGTTATAAAATGTTTGTTTTACAAATTAAATTGCAGGTTTCACAAACGTCTGTTACAGCGTCAGCAACAGACAGCTTACCTCCTCTCCATCATCTTGACAAACTCACGCCTCATGAGGAAACCTCTGCAGAGAGCCTGAGTCATTGTGACCAGCTCAGCCAGCTTCTCGTCTCTCATCTCCTCCAGAGTTCCCAGCAGACCGGCTTTGAAGAACACCTGAAAGTTATTAATACAAATTATTTTTAATTTGTTAACTATTCTCCACATTTCAGCATAAACAGCATTTTCCAGAGAGATTTTTCTTTCTCTACCTTGGTGTGACCAAACTTGTACTGAGAGTGGTCCACGTTGATGGATCCCAGAAGTTTCTCTGAGGCCTTCTTGTTGTCAATGAACTGTCCCTCAGGAATGACGCTAGCATTCAATACCTTGTATCTAAAGTAAAGAGTTCAATCACCAAGTCAGATGCAGTGGCTTTAAGATAATAATAAAAGTAATAATAATAAAAAAACGTTTCATTGTCAGTGAAGATGCTAGCAGTGTTACCTCTGCTTGAAGTCACCGTAGAGGATTCTGCTGGGGAACCCTTTCCTGCAGATCCTGATCCCCTCCAGCACACCGTTACACCTCAGCTGGTGGATGACCAGGAAGTTCTCCATGAGGCCTGTAATATGTCGTTAAATAAACACATTTTGACAAGAGTGACAGAATGAAAATGTGAAACAGTGAAAGCACATCACAGGTTTGATTTCTTTCAGCCATGTACCTGGAGTCTTTGACTCATTGGGAATCAAGCAGCGCACAAAGTGAGGATGAGTGCTCCTCAGGTTGGTCATCAGCTTGCCCAGATTCTCCTGAAGCATTAAAACAGCATTGAGTTAACAAAATAAATGACAAGTGTCTCTAGTAAGTGATTCTTCCACATCTTACCCTGAACAATGCAGACACCGTCTGGAAGGAGCCACCCTTCTTTTTGCCACCTTTCTTGCCACCACCACCCTCAGCTGTCAGTGGGACAGTTACAATGAAATGATTAAAGCAAGAAATGGCAATGCATTTTTAATATCTAAAAAACTGTGGAGAAATTACAATTGATACCTTCTGAAGCGGCATGAGATGCATACAGGAAAGCCAACAGCTTTGTTGAAGACTTCTGGTAGAGCTGTACCACAGAGTCGTTCAGGGGGTCTTTGTTCTTCTCCAGCCAACCGACGACATTGTAGTCAACAGTACCAGCATAGTGCACCAGGGAGAAGTGGGCCTCAGCTTTGCCTTTGGCAGGCTTTGGTTTCTGGAAGGGGGCACTTTTGCCAACATGCTGGTCATAGAGTTTGCTCTTGAAGGTCATGTCTGTTGCCTTGGGGACAATGCACTCCTCTTCAAGGATGGAGAAGATGCCCATTGGCTGCCATGATGAAACATGAAGCAAATTATTTCAAGGCTTCAGACTGATTTCTGTTTTTATCAACACACAGTACAGAGTTCATGTGGTAAAAAAAACACAAAGTGTCTTTACCTTCTCAATAAGCTCAATGCAGGCAGCCAAGTCCATACCAAAGTCAATGAACTCCCATTCAATGCCCTCTTTCTTGTACTCTTCTTGCTCCAGGACAAACATGTGATGGTTGAAAAACTGTTGCAGTTTTTCATTGGTGAAGTTGATGCACAGCTGTTCCAGGCTGTTGAACTGAAAAGGGAAAAAATCCTTATTATATCAAACTCATCATTAAAATCTGTCCAAAGCAAAGCTTCTTGAAAGAAATGTTTCAATAACAAAGGTATAAAACGGTGCATTTCCGGCTCACTTACATCAAAGATTTCGAATCCAGCGATGTCGAGCACACCGATGAAGAACTGTCTCGGCTGCTTTGTGTCCAACATCTCGTTGATTCTGACGACCATCCACAAGAACATTTTCTCATAGACGGACTTGCAGAGCGCCGAGACGGCGTTGTTGACCTGATTTTACAGATCGACAACAAAGACAAAGCATGAGAGAATGTCACACAAATAAACTGTTAAAGTGGTAAAAACGGGATGGATTAGGATATTTCACCTGCGGGACAGTCTGACCCTTAGTCACAAACTCGTTTCCAACTTTGACTCTTGGGTAGCACAGTGCCTTAAGCAAGTCAGATGAGTTCAGGCCCATAAGGTAGGCGATTTTATCCGCGACTGAGAGTAGAGAGAAAGGCAGTAGGACAATTAGCAATAGTGTTTTTAGTTTGTTTCATACTTAAAGGTTTTTTTTTAAGGTCCAACATACCCTCAGTGCCATCTGGCTCAGCCTGCTCTTCTCGCTGCTTCTGCTTGAACTTCATGTTTCCGTGTTGCATCGCAGCTCCGGTCAGTTTATACATGCTAATTTTCTCCTCTGCGGTGAAGCCCAGGATGTCAATGGCAGTCTAGGAATATTCAAATAAATAAGTCATTCACACAAAGCTCTTTCATTTAATACAGTCCTAATTGTTTTTTTTATAGTAACCTATATTTAATCATTTTCTTACATCAGTAGCGATGAATTCTTCAACGTCATTGATACTCTTGACAGTGATTTCACCTTGACTGATCATGGGATAGTCGTATGGGTTTGTGGTGATCAGGAGAGCCTCTAAAGAAAACAAAAAAATACATGTCAATATAATACGCTATACAATACAGAGAAACAACACATATATGTTATATATTGTTGTTTCCAAGCTATGGAAAAACTGAGATATTTTCATTATTATTCTCTAACCGATGAGCTCAGGTTTGTGGCCTGTTGTGAGCTGATAGAAGATATGGTAGCTCCTCTCAGCAGAGAGCTGGAACGTCACTCGAGACTTCTCCAGCAGATCTGTAAAACAAATCAGGATGAGGATAAGAAAGTCCATAGGCTAACAGGACAGAGACAAAGGATGTGCTTGATCATTTGTAGCCTCACATGTTTCAATGTCAGCTGAGGCCAATTTCCCAGTTGTGCCAAAATGGATTCTGATGAATTTACCCTTTTAAAAAGAAAAGACTGGATTAGTATGATGATTTTTAAAAAAAAATTTATTTAGAAAGGCTTAATTTATAGACACTTACAAAACGGGATGAGTTGTCATTCCTCACTGTTTTGGCATTACCATAAGCCTCCAGCAGTGGATTAGCTGCAATGATTTGATCCTCAAGGGACCCCTGAAAGTTTAAAATGACACATGTTTGCATTTTGTGTATTTCTTTATTTTCATATACATAATTTAAAACACATTGCATGACTTACCTGCATTTTTCCAGGGACTTGCTCGGTTTTCTTTCCTCCAGCCACTGCGATTGTCGCAAAGTACTGGATGACACGCTTAGTGTTGACAGTCTTTCCTGCACCAGATTCTCCACTGTAGTCACAAAAACACCTCATTAGCAAGAAAACCCCCTTGCACTGGGTAATCATTTGCTGAATTCTAAAAAAGAAACTTACGTGATAAGGATGGACTGATTCTCACGGTCTGTGGAGAAACAGTAACAAAGATATTGGCCATCATTTATATTAACAGTAATGCGGTGACCCACTATCAGAGCTTAATGTGTATATGTAAGTTATTTTATCTTTACTACTACTCCACAAGGTAAGTTCAAAACTTATAAATTGTTCCTCTCTTGTTATATGAGCCTGGTATCACATGCAAAGTGCTGCGACACATGCTTCATACCTTGGAGCATGAACTGATAGGCGTTATCAGAGATGGAGAAGATGTGGGGTGGAGCCTCAACTCTCTTCTTGCCCCTGTATCCTGCCACAACCATTGAATCATACACTGGGAGCCACTTGTAGGGGTTCACAGTGACGCAGAACAGCCCAGAGTAGGTCTGCGGAGTCAGAGAGGATCATTTATGATGCAGATCTTCCTTTTGTCATGAGCACGAGTATCAGCTATGGAGTTCTGATCAAGACAAACTCACGTAGATCATCCATGCTGCATAGCGCTCTTTGAGGTTATACAGCACAGTAGGCTCACTGAGGTGGGTCATCATGGCCATGTCCTCAATCTTATCGAACTTTGGAGGGTTCATGGGGAAGACTTCATCTTCTTTCACGGTGATAGTCTAACGCACAGACAGAAAAAAACATTAGTGGCACAGATATCAGTGGGCAAGTGTTCCAAACTTATTAAACAAGCAAAGACAATCAGTTTATCTATTCCCTTAGAGGTCAGAAAAACAACACGTGCACATAATTCATTTCCTGCTATTCTGTTTTATTTTAGCTGAAAATGAAGCTGTGCTGCTTAGTTATTTTTTTCTAATATGCATACAATCCTGAGGCCTTCATTCCTGAGACCACACTAGCATCAGTGCAGCTGTTGCACTCAGATATTTGAACTCACCCACTCAATCAAGTAGTCTGGCTCATGCAGCTCGGCTCTATAACATTTACACTACAATAACAATAAAAAAGGTTTTGCAGAGTCAAGGCACTCTCACCTTCCCGCACAGAGTCTCCACGGTGGCTTTGCCGCCCTCTCTCTTAATAAGTTTCCCCTTGAGGTACATTTCTTTGGGCTCAGTCACAAAGTATGCTGTTTTAGCATCAAATGGAGTGTTCTGGGCTTCAATGCGCTCTCTTTCTGGCTTGCGGAGGTAAACGGCCGCCGGGCCAAAACACTCCATCTCTGCGTCTCCCATGATGACTCTTTACTGCAAGTAAGTAAAACAAGACAACAGTCATTATTTCTTCTCGCTCATGATGCATGAGGATAAAGAATCCTGAAGCTGTTGTGGATGTCAAATGAAGTGACAGCTGGACTGTGTTTAAAATACTTTGTAACAAACACTCCAATCTGTGTGTAACCCACGACTGCCTATATCTGCTCCAAAATATTAAAATATTAAGAGGTAAAAGGCACTAGGCACTGAACAAAACTAACAATTTCTCATCTTTATTCAATGATTCAAACATGTTAATAAAGTGAGAAGCCTCAACGTGAACTCTGTTAATTGATTTGTAAGCCATCTCACAAAATGCTAAACGAACAGCTGGATATTCAAGCATCAAAGTCTCATTTACAGCATATAAACAATGCTATTAATTAAAAGTGTCTTTTGATAAACATGGAAAGCAATTACCTTTTCCCCTCCCTTCAGAAAAAAAAAACAGCTGTTGATGGTCCTGTGAGGGTTCTGATGAAGAAAAAGAAAAGATAAATTGTTCAAATGAATAAGTGTAATTAAACTAATAAAATAAATAAAAAGGCACTCGGTCTGCAGTAAAGTCCTGGCATTAGCACAGCGGTCCTGTCTCTGGCAGTAAATGATCATGCCCTGCATTGTTCATTAAGCTGCTGGCTCTCCTCCTGCTAATAAAAGACTGTAAGTCACTCACCTTGACTGGAGGCTTGGCAGTCCTTGTGGGTGTCCAGCCTTCCTTCTTATATAGGGAGATCAGTGTTCACTCAGCAGAAATGGCCTCCTTTATTTGGTCAGGTTGTTTTGTGCTATTTCCTTGAGTATTTTTGCCTCCGCTCTGTCCCCTGTCGTCGTTCGTCACTGATCAACAGGCTCTTTCACTTTTTAGTTGTCACATATTCTGAATGACTTGTTTACAGAGGCATGTTTCAGGCAATGTCAACAATTTTAATCGGGAAATAATATCAAGAGTGAATGACACATTATAGTAAATATAATTGTATTTACATATGTAAATATAATTATGTAATTATAAATATAGTAAAAGTCTAAATAAAAGTAAATATATTAACCTCACTGGTGTCATTAGATAAGTGTGGCTTTGCTTTCTATTGTCATTAATTAAAATACTACTCGGTATAATTTATATATTCAAAATAGGAATCAATAGATCCTAAGGCACTGACGTATGTGACAGAGAGCACAGAACACCATTGTCCTGTTGTAAAGTATTTCACTGCTGCAGTAAAGATGCCACACAAAGCACCGCTGTCAAACAGGAAGCCTCAAAAAGTGTATAAATAGATGAAGACACTGGCAATGCAACATTTTTGAACTTTGTCTAAATATTGTTCTGGTGATCGGTTACTGAAGTTCAGACATTGTGTTGGTCTTTACAATAATCTCTTTAATGCAGCCTGGCACTGCAGAGGATCTGAGTTTAGCCTTGGAGAAGCTCTCATGTGTCCCTGGGATTCTGTTGCAGAAGCCTTGCAAGTCTTTCCTGTGACAAAGGAGCACAATTGGGCCTAACAGCTGCTAATCTAAGAACTTGTGAAAATGATGATACCTCACGATAGCAGAAACATGCACTGGGGTCTGGGGTTTTATGAAATCCCACACTTAATTAAATTTGCTCGGTAGCGAGAATGGACAACAGAAAGCAGAACAATGTTCATATTTATAGCACTTTAATTTCCTCTGTCCCAGAAATGCTGAATGTATCTGGTAAACACATGTCGAACAAATGTTGCTTTGAAGTTTGATCAATACAAATGCCAATCACGGAATACGTCATGCGCTGTAATCAGAATTTACCTTCAAAACAAACCTCTGCGAGCAGTTTCATGCCTTGAAAAGTTCACTAATACTCTCTGCATGATAATGCTGCTGGCCAGAGTATCTCATTATCCCATTATAACAAGCCAAGGGTGAATATCTTGGTGAAGGAACTCAGTTAATGTGATGAAATTACACTTTAACGCCCCACATATAGTGTTCATAAGCGGTATTTAATATTGAACAAATGGGTTATGACAGATACTGTGTACTTAGACACATATATATGATTTTAATTAACTATATATACATTTATCAAGAAATTCAGCTACTGTTTCATGCTTGTGGACGGATAATAAATGAGAAAAGAACATTTAGATATGCTGACAAATAAAAAGGTAATTATATCTGCTCACAACTTTATTATTGTGTGCTATGAAAGCTTTATCACATGTTTCATGTTTTTCATTATATTCTCTTATTTTGAAGAGCGGAGGACAACTTCATTCATTCGGGAAAAGATTATAATTTTACTTTATCAACTATTGATCGTTTCAATGAAGACAAAGACATGACGGCTGTATTTTTAGACTAATGAGATTAATGAGACGAATGGCACATGATCCCAAAGAATTTCAGCAATGTCTTTGGACTGAAATTTTAGGCGCTCCAGATTTGCTGGGTTGGCAATACTGCAGCAAGGCACAGGTCATAGGTGATTGGGGGGTGTGTCCTACTATTTCTGTACAAATAGCTCACTTCACTTTTATTTATTCTCCCTTCTTTCTATTTCTATGGCTTTTTTTTTACATTTCTATGAGTGTTTTTTTGTGTGAGTGTATGAAACTGTTCTTTGGAAATAAATGTGATGTCAAACCACTAAAATGACAGCAGCCCGTGTCCTTTGTTGTAGGTAGTAAGTGAGTAAAGTTTGATTTTCTAACACTTTTCTAGACTTAGAACAGCCACAAAGTGCTTTAAAAAACATCACATGTTAAAGACATGGTGGTCACACATGAATCGAGTAAAATAACACAAGAACACAAACACTGCGCCTCTCTGAAAGGTTTCAAGCCACATTTACAAGGATACCACAGAGTGACGGGTATGAAGAGAGATCGCTAAGCTGTTCTATAATTGTACAGCTAAGGTTTGAAAGTGCAATCACCCGTAGCTTTCAGCATACTGAAATCACAAGAGGGCCTGGAGAATAGGGGCGGAGCGGTTCAATAATGTAGCTGCGGGGCCTTAGCCTGTAAGGCCATAAAAGGAACCAGGGAAGCCAAGGAGAAGCTTTAAAAACGGGGAGATATGTGAAGACTTCGGTATAAGCGTGAGTTAGAAGCCTTAACAGCAGCTTTTTGGTTTGGAGTCAGTTAATAAATGCTTTAGTTGGACAAGAAAACAGAGCTTTACAATAATCTAAGCAGGAGGAAATGAAAGCATAGACAGGTATCACATAGTGATGGATTAATGTCATCTTTGGGTCGAATTTAAAAATCTCAACACATTCACTTTATTTTCCGTTCCACATAAAAAACAACAATAACAGTACAATTCAAAATTAACGCTACTTTCAGCTGCTCCCTTGTCACCACAGCAGGTAACGTGTTTGATTGTTACACCAAATGTCCTTTTTAGACTCAATCCCAAAGGACATGCATGCCACCAGCTGGAACTAAACCAGTAACCTTTCGCTTGCTAAGCAATGGGTAAATGTGTGGCACCACACTAGTAAGAGTGAAATTCAGTCATTAATAATTAAAACAGCAAGCATTAATTAAAGGTCAAAAACAGTTGCTGTGACATTTATACTCTCTGGACATCAGACCAGAAAGCTGTGTGTTACCTGATGAGACTTTTAACCCTCTCAGGCTCAAATTGAACTTTTTGTTGCTAATGCACAACCAAGTCCTGCAGTGGTACTTCTGAGTAAAAAAACCTCATAAAATATGTATGTGGGGTAATCAGGTTGTTAGTTTTTAACTGTTGCAAATCGGCAACGCCTGCCTCGAGAGGGTTAAGGAGGGGAAACAGTGTCAGGTTTCTACTAATTCCCTACTGACAGACCGTTAACACACTCTGAGGCGTAACTTCAACATTTCTAACCAATACGTAAGGGTCACAGCACACTCATGAAGCTACCCAGTGCCCGATATTTTGTTTTGCAGAGGCTCAGATGTAATATTTTGTGTAGCTATGATTACTCTAGGTATGATAATCTGATGAGAGATGTGTCAGTGGGCTTGAGCTTTCTAGAGACTGACATGAAATCTCATGTTATGAGTGGAGCAACATCAAAAAGATAGAAAATATGTCTGCTGCCTGCTTTTGTTGGGGTGCTTGTTAACTCACGGGCCACAAGGCTAATGCAGCGGCCTGGTACTGAATCTACGCTGAGGTCTTCCTCATCAATAAAGGCTAAGAAGCCCCACACTCTGCCCTGACTGCTTCTTTTGTATGCTTTAATTTTAAAAACAGGGAAAACACAGTAGAACCAGACATGAATGCAATATACCAAGGGGACCAACTGGTATATATGTACAGGTTTACACGGGATCGTTTGCGGTGTGTTTGAGGACACACACACACACACACACACACACACACACACACACACACACACACACACACACCTGGCCCATCATTTGTATTTTACACTCTCATTTTAGCGCCCCATTTCGTGTAGCATCTTCACTTTCACTGACAGTTTTTCTCAATATCAGGTTGCATTGCTGGATTTTTGACACTGTACTGAGTCAACGGGGGTTCGGATGCAACCCTCTCATCTCGCTTTATCCTGCAGCTGAAAGTCAACCATTCAAAGGCATACAGCTTTGTCTTAAGGCTGAGCCACTGCTGTTGACAAGTTAACTGTCTGTGTCTGAGCGAAGGAACGTCTTTGACAGCAGTACATCACCGTTTCTAGTTCCTCTCGTGCCATCGCTACGCGCCTTTGAAGACCTTGACATTGTACTTCCTAACGTGTCACGGTGCATTTGTCTTCAGGACAATAAACTTTCCATCGTCTGATCCACGGGTAACAGGTGATTAGATTTGTGTCTCTAGGTTTCTCAGGGCAAGCACTTGTGTTGTCTCGAGGGCAAGGATTTATTTTTAAACCCTTTCTTAAAATGGTCTTGTTGTGCTGCGTGCCCTGACAGATGAACTAAAGACAAGGAGCGGCTTGTAGCTTGACCTTCTCTTAAGTCCAGTATTTGTTCCCCATATGCGACAAGGAGAGGATCGTGTTATACGACGTGTAGTAGTTTGCATTCTTTCCTTGTTGAAAGATGACACTGAAGAAGCAAAGAAGGGAAGAGGGCATTAGGAGCCAAATATTGAGGACTTGACACTCGACAAAATAGGCCTAAATATTCAAAAGAAATGTGATACTCGACCTCTTGTGCTCCTGGGAGTGCTTATTTGGAATAAACACAAATATAGCTGTCTCCTCAGCAATGCTCTCAGAGCTCAGCCATTTGTTACAGCTTCAAGTCTTATTGTGGAACGACCTTTGATATGAAACAACTGCCTCCTTGGTGGCCTGAGCCTCCCGAAGGATGCAAGAGCGCTTACTGAAATGGTATTAAAATGTGAGTCCAGATTTAAATAGAAAATGCAAAGAAAAGTATTTTTTTCTATAGTTGCTTTTAAAGGTTTTCAGCATCTATGGGTCCATGTTGTGTTTATATGAAATGAAAATGTATTAGCTTCTAGCAGAAGAAGCTAAGAGATATGAGGTGGCATCAGATAAATAAACACATTTAAAGGAAGACTAATTGGACTATTAATTAAAAAAAGACAATATAATCAATTAGTTTTGCTCAGCTTATCATTTCTAGTTTCTCAACTAGTTTTAGTCTGATTATCTTATTTTATTCAGCTTTATGACTCCAGGCTGATTTCAGTTCAATCTAAGCCTATCTAATATTAATCTCAGGTCGTTTCCCATTACCAGTGGAGTCACTATTCAATGTTCATAAAACCACTTCCCAGAGGAGGATGTCTGAGATTCACGTCAAAACAAAGATATTTAAAATCAGACACCTGCAGTAACATCCACATTAAATATGTTATTGATCTTGTTTTTCCTCACTCTGCTTTAATAAAATATTACAATATTACTTTAGCTTTTCTGTACTTTGCTAGCTTTCCAGAATACTTCAGGTTTCTATTGGGTTTTCCATGATTTTCTTTTTATTAAAATAAAAAGCAATAATTTGAGATGTAGTGACGGTGAATGCCAAGACACTGCTCGGGTTTAAGCATGAGGAGGAGTGTTGCTGCAGGTTGTGGGTCACTGATGGGTCTATTTTCATCACACGACGTCGTGACATGGTGCAACATATGTGCTGGAGCACATAGAAAAACTGTAAGGTCACTACTCTGTCAGTAACATTATCACCAAAGGGAACAGATTTACAGTTATCATAGCCTAAAGAACTTCTATGTGATAACAGGTGACAGTTGACAACCAGGTTATTGCGAGTGATGAAGCTGTGCAGCCCACATTTAGACCACCACACACATAAAAGAGCATTTCAGTTCACTGTTATTAGGTTCTATATGTATTGTTTAACTTGTGCAGAGGTGCACCAAGTGTAAGTACACCTTTAAATCCTGACACATTTTGAGAAATGCGTCCGGAGCTCTCGAGCACTCCTACAAATATTTAAAAAAATATCTGTTTAACTTTGATGACCGTAATGTCTCTGAATAACTAGCTTCATGTCTACTTCTTTTGAGTTACGCATTATTTAAAGCACACGACATAAAAGATATTCAACTGCTTGTGTGTTTATTTCTTGTCACGTAGTTGGTACATCAGACAAAAAAGCTCATATTGTGTGATTTCATCCAGACTGCGGTTCATTCATGTCTCCTTGACCTTCAACACAAAAGAGAGAGCAACAAATTAATGTTAAATGGTTCTGTTAAGAGATGCACCACCTTTGCAGAGTACCTTCATCATGACGATAAAACAGAATTAACAAAATTATTTTACCCTGACAATTTCACGGCTCTTTGCTTTCAGCTTGTTGACCTGCAACTCTGTGATGTCAGCGCGCTCCTGAGCTTCCTCAAGCTCATGCTGAACCTTCCTGTTCCTGGCCAGGTCAGTGTTGGCTTGCTCCTCCTTAAAAGTAGAAGTTAAGGCAATGATGCCACTCATCAGTAAAAAAATAACTTTCATTAAATCTCTTGATGCACGCTCAGTAATCCAGGTAAGGAAATTAAATCTGTTTATCTGGACGCTTCTGGAGTTTTTAGTGGGAGAAACGTTCCAGATGAACAACTTTCAGTCAACTTTCTGTGAACCATCGTAAAATAATTCTGCTTCCTGCTTTAAGTACACTGCTGTCAACAGGGTCAGAAGTAAAGGTGTTACTTTGTCATGACTATCTGCTTTGCATGTGTTGAATATTTCACACTCACAGCTTTCTCAGACAGACAGCTGCAGCTTGTCCACAAGATCTTGAAGTCAGGTCTTCTTGTCCTACTCAGCCTAGAGACAGCAGAGTCTGTCTGAAACTACCACTACAGAGACCTACTTCTTCTCTATCTGATTCATGAACGTCTTCAAAACAACTTCAGAGCACACAACATGCTCATCTTCCACAGTGAATCCACTTCAGACGCACACGAGGGACAACAACAAACAAATATGCACCAAACACTCACTTACAACATACTGCAGACTATGTGAAGGGGATGTTTCAGCGCAGCGCAAACACCGACATCTCTATCAACCCATCTGCACATGCAACTGCATATGCAGGAGTTCCTGATCTCCTCAGTTTTTCAAAGTGAAAATCTGTTGAACAGCTCTAGCAATTTCACACAATTAGCATAGATATAAACACATAACTGTGTGTATTTATAGTTGCAACCAGAGAGTTTAGTTTCAAGGGTGGTGTACTCTTTATCACATCAGTTCGTCAACTACTGTTGGAGCCACAGACTCTTCATATTATGGAGATTATTGCCCTCTAGGGGTGTAATGCATATTATACACCCAGTTTTTTCTTGGCAGCACAAATTATAAAACTATACGTGATGATCACTCATCACTTCCTTATTTAATTAAAATTTTGGGATTTTAGGGACAGAAAAAGCATTTCTGTTTTGTTGCATCCTACCTGATAAGTCAGCTCCTTCACTTTAGGTTCATACTTGACACCCTTCACAGCCACAGATCCATGTTTCTGCTCCACCTAAACCTCCGCCTCCAGCCCCCGAACCTTTCCAGCCACAAGCCCAGATGTTTTTTATGGTAAAAAAAGTGATATAACATTTTATGAACTTTTTTCCTACACAAAACAGTTCAGTGAAATAAACAGAGCCCACCTTTAGTTTTAAGTTTGTTTGGGGTACCACTTCTACAACTTTTATCAAAGTAGTTCCTTAAATGATCTCACTTTACTGAAACCAACAACAAAACACTTTTTTTCTGCAGCAAACAAACCCTCACCTCTAGTCTCTGGAGATGCTTCTTGCCACCTTTCATGGAAGATCCATGATGGTTTCGTGGGCCAGTTTCAGATCTCCCTCGAGGTTTCTTTTAGCTCGCTCAAGATCCATACGGAGCTTCCTTTCTTGCTCCAGTGTACCTTCAATCTTGTGCATTCACGCACACAGTAATTAGTGCCAGCTTCAATATATAAAAACTTAGTGCTGCACTTGTGATAATTCAAACAAATATAGAAACTCACATCGTCCACTTGCTGCTCCAGCTTGGTCTTGACCTTCGTCAGGCTGTTAACTTTGTCTTCCTCTGCCTGCAGGTCATCAAGGGTCTGCTTTTGGGCCTTTTGGAGGGCTTCCTTTTTTTTGCTCAGCTTGGCAATGGACACATCTTGAGCAGCCAGTTCCTCTGTGAGACTTTTAACCTAAAATGTTTGGTGAATAAAATCATTATAGCATGCAGTTCCCACTAAACAACTGAAACGAGGCACAAACCTTGTTCTCAGTGGCATGTTTCTCCTTTTCCACTTTGGCCAGGGTCAGCTCCAAGTCATCAATATCCTTCTTCAGCACAGAGCACTCGTCCTCCAACTTCCTCTTCTTGTCAGTCAGCTCAGCGTTCATTTCCTCCTCATCCTCCAGTCTCTCGGCTGTCTCTTTAAGTTGGACCCTGAGTTGGATCTTTCCTTTAATGAGCCCCTCACACCTTTCCTCTGCATCAGCGAGGGTTTCACCCTTCTGTAAATGCAAAAAGGAAATGATACAGTCAGCTGTAAATAATCAAGTTACAGAAAAATGGAGGTTCCAGTTCTCTTTAACATACACTCTGAATTTGGATCTGCAAGTCATTCTTCTCCTGTACGAGAGTAACCATCTTTTCCTCCAGTTTTTTCCTCTTAGCCAGAGCCTTTGCTGGGTCCTCCTTGGTCTTTTCAAAGTCCACTTTCATTTGTGCCATCTCTGCCTCTGCACTCCCGAGAAGTGGCCTTATTCTAAAGTATAGCTTCATCCAAGGCCAGGTTTTGACATTCATGAATGCACGGATGTTGTACTGAATGGTGTAAATGGATTCTCTGTGGAGACAGAGTACAGGACATTTTTCTTTCATTGCTCAAACTGAATAGAAAAAGGTTACTGCTGTCTCCCAGATTCTAAAAAAAGAAAACTGCACTGCAACCGTTTCTTAACTCAAAAATTACATTTTGCGAGAACATTAAGTTCAGCATCTTCCTGTTCAATAACATGTCCCTAGAGGCCTCCGGCACTCTGACACACAGCTTTGTTGTCTATTAAAGACCTTAAACTACATGACTAAGAATAAGTCTGAATAATGCAGAAGCTCTGACAAATCCTGCATTTACCATGTGGTAGCCTAACAAGATGCTTTTATCTACCATAAAACTGAAGGAGTTACAGTCAACTGTTGTACATTACCCATGACATTGTCAACATTTTTCATTACATTTTTGGGTTCAGTCAATGTAAAGTCAAACTGAGTTTAGGAGGTGGAGAGCCCTGAGACAAAAAAGTAAAAGTGACAGGCTGGAACTAATGTTTATGAGCGACACCATTGTTTGTTGTTGGTCTGCATATGGTACACTGTTAATGCTTGCATATGGTTAAATGCAAGAAAAACTGGTCATAAATGCTATTGTTTACTGTTTAAGTTCTAATGCAGATTAGCCATTTGATTTATCACTTTTAAAAAAGCAATATCTTTTAATCTTGTGTTCAATCGTTAGATTGAATTACATAATTTGAGCATTTAAAAATACTCAAGTAAATATTGTGCTACAAAGCTTATGCACTGCTACTGTTAAAAAAGGTTTGGATTGGTTAATGTTCGCAGATGTGTGATAACAAACGTAATTTGTATTTTGGTTTTTTGGTTTGTATTTAAAGGTTTTTCACCTGTGGCTGACTATGGCCGAAAAGAAGAAAAAAGGGAAACAAAAGATCTGCCTGGTCATTGAGTGAAATCCAGTTAAACAACTGTGGTAGATGCATCAATCCCTTTCAAGCGGGGAAGCTGCACAAACATAAAGAGCTTGACAATCAAGGTTAAGCAAAAACTTATTTAAAATGTTTCCATTATTATATCAAATATGATCTATTTTGATACTTTGAAAAGAAAAAAAGTTGGATTTTGTGATTGTTCCAGCATTAAGAGCCTGCTGGACTGAACTATGTAACTAGGAAATAGCGACTTTTTATGGCAATCACACCAAAATACTTAGCTTTCACAGACTAATGAAAAATTAAATTTTCCCTGAATTATTCAGAGCAGAAGTACTTTCTGTACATTAATCAAAGTCTCCACCTGCAGTGATATTAAACCAGGTACCTACCTGGTGTTTTAGTTTCATTGGGAATCAAGCAGCACACAAAATGTGGGTGCATGCTCATTAAAGTTCATCATTTAAGTATTTAAGAAAATGAATATTACCCTGAAAAGAGCCGACACTGTCTGGAAGGAACTGCCCTTCTTCTTGCCACCACCCACATAGCAAAATTGGTGTGGCCCAGATCTGGCCCACACAACGTGCTTACACATGGCCCACATACCGCAAAGAATGACGGCCCTTTGGTGGCCCAGATCTGGTTTGCCAGAGGTGGCCCACACATGGGCCACCACAAGGCCAGTTGCAGACACACTGGTGGTCCTGTGCTGGCCCAGAACAGTTTCAGCTCTGGCCCCAGATGTCAGCCTAATGTGTACCTTAATCAAGCCATGTAATAACAACATGTGCCGGAACATAATAGTGCAAAAGTAACATGACGAAACTCTGTTCAGACAGTGATTCTTAAATAGCACTTTTCTACTCTCCCGGATTACCTAAAGTGTTCTATACGACATGCCACATTCACACATCTTCTCTGAACTGAGTGCTTCCTAACTACATTCATACACATTCACACTCTTGACATGCTGACTGGAGGAATCAAACCACTACCATGGCAGTATAGTATTGCAACATGGCAGTTGGGTCTTCTACCTAAAATAGGAAAATAGGAACATAAATAGTGTCATCATTGCCAGACCTGGCCCACATCTGGTTGACATACACCCTGCCAACACACCAGTCAGTCAGAAGTGCCAGCTTGATGCCGGACCCAGGCCAGACCTGTTGTCTGTGAGCCTGGGCCACATAAACCAAACCACAATCGGGCCAGATGTGGCATGCCATCACATAAACAGTGTCATCTATGCCAGGCCTGGCCCATATCTGGATGACATACCACGTACCATGCCAGAAGTCAGCCAGCAGTGCCGGCTTGACACCAGATCCAGGCCAGACCTGTCTGCTATGTGGGCAGCCTTTTTTCCACCTTTTGGACCTGTAAAGCGCATTTTGCAAACTGATATGTAAATAATGCGAAGCAATAAATGCAATAATCTTTCCGCATAGCTTAAATTTTGTAGATACATGAGTTTATATAAAAAAATACTACCTTCTGCCTACACGTGAGGTGCAAACAGCAAGGCCAGCAGCTTTGTGAAAGACGTCTGCTGTACCACAGAGTCGTTCAGAGGGTCTTTGTTCTTCTCCAGCTAGCCAATGGCATTGTATTCAACATTACCAGCATAGTGCACCAGGGAGAAGTGGGCCTCAGCTTTGCCTTTGGCAGGCTTTGGTTTCTGGAAGGGGGAACTTTTGCCAGCATGCTGGTCATAGAGTTTGCTCTTGAGGGTCATGTCTGTTGCCTTGGAGAACATGCACTCCCCTCTTCAAGGATGGAGAAGATGCCCATTGGCTGCCGTGATGAAAGAAGCAGTAAAAAAACAAAACAACTTAAATTTGTTTTCTACTGTTTTCTATGCAAATGGACAGCACACGGCTCACCTTCTCAATAAGCTCAATGCAGGCAGCCAAGTCCATACCAAAGTCAGTGAACTCCCATCCAATGCCCTCTTTCTTGTACTCTTCTTGCTCCAGGACAAACATGTGATGGTTGAAAAACTGTTGCAGTTTTTCATTAGTGAATTTGATGCACAGCTGTTCCAGGTTGTTGAACTGAAAAGGGGAAAAAGTGTCAAAGATTGTGTGTTGCTGTTGTGTAAAGTATGAAGAAATGACGTTTGTACTTTACTTACTTTACATGAACATGAACGTAAGACTATGCAGTGTTAGTTCTGCATACTTACATCAAAGATTTCAAGCCCAGTGTGTCATGGTACGTTGTGTGGCAGGCAGGAGAAGGACCCAAGATGCAGACTCACAGACACGGGGATAACTCAAAAACACAGCTTTAATGCTGGCAAAAGGTGGAACACGAAAACAGTACTAAACTAAACTGGGAAAGCTAAACATAAAGTAAACCAGGAACCACGGGGAGAATAACACACAACATGAGGGAGAACGCGACGCCGAACAGAGGGAGACACAGACAGAAATACACCGAGGGTTAACGAGGACAGTGGGAACACACGGGGAACACAGGTGACACTGATAATCATAACGAGGCAGGGCGGGGTGAACTGAACATGACATGTACAGGCGTGAGAGTCACAAAGTAAACAGGAAGTGCACAGAGGTTCAGACAGGAGGAGAGAGAGCACGGGGAAAACAGACATAACGGGCTGGGGAAACATGGAATAAAACATAAGGAGAGGCGAGGGCTCACAGATACACAGAGGGGCACACGGGGGTGAGAGTCACAAAAGGAAAGCACACAGGGAACAACATAACAGGGCAACCCAGGAAACAGAACCTAAACAGGGGATTGAATACAAAAATACAAAAGAACTAAGAACACTGGGCCAACACGGCCCAGGACCATGACACAGTGATGTCCAGGACAGATATGAAAAAAATCTTGGCTGCTTTGTATCCAGGATGTCATTGAGTCTCACAACCATCCACAAGAACATTTTCTCATAGACAGCCTTGGACAGAGCCATCACTCTATTATTAACCTAAGAAATAAGAGTTTGGGTTCTGATTATACCACAGAAGAGGATTTTTTTTTAAAATATATAAATTACTGTTTGCTCATAGACTACTTTTTAATTACTTGTGGCACAGTTTGACCTTTGACCACCATTTCATTGCCAATCTGTACTCTTGGTTAACAGAAAGCCTTCAGCATATTGGCAGAGTTCAGGCCCGTGAGGTAGGTATGTATCAGCCTCTGATGAAAACAAAAAACCAAAACAAAAAAAGAGAAGAGGGAAGATGTTTTAGAAATGACTAAGTTTGAAATGAATGAAATAAAATGACAACAAAGGATCGTGCATGTTCTGGGTCTGCCTCTGGTTGTCTTGTATTTGTGTATTCCCAAAATACAGGACAGTTCACAGTAAGTTTTCTTTCTCCAGAGGAGTTGCAAATGGCCCTTTATAAAGTCAAGGACCAGCAGCTCTACTCTGAGCTCCTTATAGTTTCCTAAAACCTTTAACTATTGTTACATGTCGGCCAAGACACCTGAAAACAATCAGGACACCCCAAACATTACAATGCAATAATTCTCCACCATGGAAACAGGATCAAATGTGTACACAATACAAGATATATAAGTAGATTCATATTGGGAAGTATAAAACTGGATAATAACTAATTTTTACAATTTTTTTAATTTACAGTGGCCCTGAGACATCAAAACACAATTTTACCCTCAGCGCACTCGCTCAGCCTGCTATTCTCACTCCTTCTGCTTGAACTTCATGTTTCTGCGATGCATCACAGACCCAGTCAGCTTGTAAATGCTTATCTTTTTCTCTGCATTGAAACCCAAGATGTCAATGGTGGTCTAAGGAAAGAATCGACAAAAACACAGATTTTACAGGTGTTACTTACATTATCTACGATACCTGATTCTTCATCAAACAAATTTGTTCTCAAATTCAGCAGTAAGAAATGAGAAGCTTACATTTTTCAATTCCTGATTTTACAGCCAGAACCACACAAAGACAACAGGGTTTCCTTCTCAGTTTAGCTATTAACCTTAATATTTTACAGAAACGAAGTGGAAAGAAAGACTATCAGCCCACAGTGAATACAGAGATGAGTTATCATTCCTAACTGTTTTAGTATTACCATAAGCCTCCAGAAGTGGGTTGGCTGCAATGATTTGATCCTCCAGCAACCCCCTAAAATGATGATATCCAACACGTTTGTGTTTTTCATTTTAAATTGGCAAGTGTATCACACAGTTCTACATCATATCACATCACTTAACTTGCATTTTACATTTCGAGTTTCTATTTACATTTCGTTTACATTTTGTTCCAGACACTGCGACTGTTGCAAAGTGTTGGATGACACGCTTAGTGTTGACAGTCTTTTCTGCACCAGATTCTCCACTGGAAAATGAAACACACATGCAATGGTGTAAATCTGACATAATACAGTGCAGAAATTACTAGTTAGATCACTTAGAGTTGTTTCAGTCCAAAACAGATGTCTTTCATTAAAACTTAAGTAATCATGATTGACTGATTCTCACAATCTGTGAAAAAAATGTAATTTAATACAAATTGTGTTATTGAATTCATTTATTATAAGCTGCCACATTAAATCATTATAAATTCATATGTATTTATAGGCACCATCACCATAAAGGGGAAGTACACAAGACATTATGTAGAATATAAAATGTAGACTTTTTATGGGTCATTACTTTAATGGAGTTGCTGATCAAAGGGTTTATCACCTTGGAGCATGAACTGATTATCTCATTATCAGAGATGGAGAAGGTGTGGGGTGGAGCCTCAATCCTCTTCTTGCCCCTGTATCTTGCAACAACCATTGCATCATACACCAGGAGCCACTGGCAGGGGTTCAGTGTGGAACAGGCCAGAGTAGGTCTGTTTGAGAAGCACAAGATCATATAAATGACAAGAAATAAAAGAAGCCCAAACATTATGAAGACCTACACGTCAAACACATAAAACAGATCTCATAACAATGGTACACATCAAAGTGGAATATAGTGGATGGTTCTCACTGTCACTTGTAGGTGGTGGGAGAAATGAGCAGGTATAAAGACTTTGAAGGGACAAATGGGTCTGGCCATAACAATTTG